TTGTTTTTTTTTTTTTTTTTTTTTAGTTATTATGGGGGCCCACACGCTGCCCGGGGGGGGGGGAGGGGGGCGGCATACAAGTTTGACAATAACATAAAAATAAATAAATAAATAAACACAAACATTTGAACCTATTGAAACCAAACAGACTGTCTACCCAAACCATGCATACAAATCATTATTGGATTAGACCAATTGTTATCCCAATGTTCTAACTGTGAAGGCAATCCATCCAGTGAATGGTAACATTTCAATAATCTGCTCCCTATTGTTGATTCATCACTGCAGGCAACAAACGACAAAATCCGAGTTCTGGAAGTAATTCTCTGGACTCTTGGCCAAATATCAATGTACCCAGCCCTCAGAGAATCTGCCTCTGAACCCACTATACGATTATTGTTGACACATTCCCAACATTTTGAATTTATTGTGTGTAAAATAACTTATTTGTTTAAGCACTAGAAAGTAATGTGATTCCCTTTCTCTTTTTGCAGTCTTTGTACTTAGCAACAGTATGTCAGTAAAGAATTGTCTTTAGTCACTCTTAATACAGTGTTTTAAGTATTCATATTATTATAAAAACATGTTTAGGAATATATAATGTTTAAATAGACATTTATGGAGTTTCCATTTCATTTTCCTCTTCTGTACATTTACGTGGAGACGGAATCATTCTACAGATTGAATTTTTTTTGTTTACTGGAATTCAGCCTATTCCAAGTTCTTCAAATTTGGATAAACTCAGTTTCAACATAGTTATTTCAGAGCTGTCAGAAATTCAGATTCACCAGGAAAAAGATGATTTGGATTATCTATGCACTCACAGGGCATTTACCGTCATCTACTTTGTAGCTGTGTGATCCCAAGGAAAGATGTCTTTGTTTTAAGAAGAGGCTGACAAATGCTTTGCGCATACCTATATTTCTCCAAATCATCTTTCTCCTTTCAAACTGGATGGGTTCATAGCCCCAGTTTCTTTTTCAGAAAGGCCAAATGCATTTTTCTATATATTTCTCTCCCATCTCTGACTTCCTCTACAGATACATGCATTCATTCGTAACTGTTTGGCATCGAAGAAAAGAATGCTTACTCTATTAGGGTCTTGATCAATTATTAAACAAACCCTATACATAAATACTAAAAACATTCAAGATGTCCCTGGCATCTTGAATGTTTTTAGTATTTATGTATAGGGTTTGTTTTCCAATTTGATTTTTTAATGGATTAATTAATTTTAATTATCTTTGTGATATTTTTAAATTGTTCATGGGTTTTTGGTTTTAATTGTGAGCTGCCCAGAGGGGGAGATTGTCAGACTAGTGTTATATGCCAGGCTATGAGTGGTGCCGGAAGAAAACAACTTGGACTCTGATTTTGTACAATCCACATATTATACTATGTACAATTATATACACAAGCTAATTCTTACAGGCGAATAAGTAATTCCTATATATCCAGCAACACACCTAACTTACCTACTAACTAACAATACTCCACAACACTCAGAAACACTCAGCAGGCATATGTTCCACCCATGCTGCTTATGTCCCTGTAGCTCCAGCTACATGGTTTGCTTTGTCAATCTGTGTTATTCTCACATTAAAATTCCTTTACTTATGAGTATACCCTAACAGAGATGGGCGGCATACAAATTAAGTAAGTAAGTAAATAAATAAATATTAAATCACATTTTCCTCCATTCTTTTTTCATAAACATTATTTCAAGATATGAATTTTCTTACAGATCTTGAGTGAAGAGCAATGGACTTCTGATTCTCAGTTGTTTACAATCAGGAATAAAATTATATCCCTTTTCCTACAATTGTGTAGTTGAAATTATGAATACTTGGGTCACTATGGCAAATTATGCATGGAAGGACTGATTTGGGTACTCAAAATAAATTCTGGAGATTGGAATGTATTAAATAATAATAACAATAATCATAATTATTATTATTATTTATTAAATGTATATGGCATTCAACTCCCAGCAATTCTAAGTCTGCATCTTTTATACCAGGCTTTGGTGGATCATCAGATTTCCAATATGGAGGGGGAGGGAGAGAGATATCTCACAAACCTGAATTAGGTCAAACCATGGGTAGACAGGTTCAACCGGCTCAAAGACTGTAGAATTTCCACAACATGCCAAGGTCACGCACCAAAAGTGGGTGGGACCAGGGTCTATTTGGAATGGTGGGTCAAGGTATGGTGAAATGATGTCTTAAGCATTGGCAAGCCATAAGGCATGCATTTTTTCCCTTCGCTTCCCTAATCCCCCCAAATGCAAAACATAAAGTTAAATTAAATAATAATAATAATAATAATAATAATAATAATAATAAAAAAAAATAGGGACAGCAATTTTTTACCCTTCCCACTCTGAGAGGCTTCAAGGGCCAGAAAAGGAACATTAGAGGGCTCCCTACTGCACTCCTGAATTAAACAATACATTTATCAGTGTGTAAATATGCATAATTAAAAGGGGAAATTATTCAGCTTTTATCAACATTTACACTAAAAATAATTAGGTTATGCTAAATGAATTGCTGAATTACTTGGCTTACTTTTCTAATTTTAATGGAAAGTTCTTAATTGTTTAATTCATTAAATTGCATCCACTTTACAGTCTTACACACATATTTTCCCAAACCATATACTTAATACAAGGGCAGACAGAGCCTTAAGGTCTGGTTAAGCGGGAATCTGAATGCTTTCCAAAGTTGAAATAATTTCATCTCATTGTTTTTTCAAATATCTTGCTGTCCCTTTAATGTGCCGAGGGATTCTACGACTTTTGACTGAGAAGCAAGCTAATTTTCCCAAGTTTACCAGAGCTTATTTCCAAGTTAAGATGGCAGAGCGGACTGCAACTTTCAATCCCCAGAGAACAGAAAACGTACCTGGTTTTTCTGCCCTTCAGCTGGAAAAGTCACATATGTTGCTAGGATGAACAAGAGAAATCCAGGAATTTTCCTTGGCATGCTTTTGCAGAAGAGATCTCTTTGCTCAAGGAGGGAAGTGAAGTATACAGTTTATGTAAGATAACACCGCCTACTAAAAGTGGGATCCAAGAAACTGTGAAGTTAAATGAGAACAGAGCAAAAGCCTTTGCATGATGTAAATCTCTTAGTCCTAACTATTCAGAAGGAGCAGCATTTTGACTAAGCCTGAACTGTCAGCAGATTTAAAAGGAAAAAGCAGGGAGGTATGTATGAAAATGATCCCGAGAAAGGAAAACAATGGTTTACTCAAAATAGGAACATTAACAAGTTTCCTCTCTTCTATCAGTTGCAACAGACAGAAGGAAATCCCTTCATTTTTCATTGGAATGGAAGTCAGATTGTGTATTTAACAATGAGGCAAAGCTGCCCAGAGAATGAGATTTTGTTAACAACCCAGGTGGCAAATTTATGCGATATCAGGGTAAATTTTAATTCACTGGCAGTTTTTCAGCAAACCAATGAAAATATGAAATGTAAAAGTGGAGAAAATGCTGCTTTCACTAAACATAGTGGTTTCCTGGTTATTTCTAGATATGAAGAATAATCCTTATGGAAATCTCACTAACCCAGCTTTCTGTGAAGTACTTGACTTTCAAGGCATACTAGTGATGACTATGTTATTCCCCCAAGACTGATTCCTTCCCTCCTTTCTTCTCTCCTTCCTTCCCTCTTTCTCTTTCTCTTTCTCTTTCTCTTTCTCCTCCCCTACCTTGAAATTATCTGGACCAATAGAAGTTGTGGCTACAGTTCTTGGATGCATCCTCAAGCCATCTCCAAACTGTTGTTAACTGATATTAACACAGAATATTTGATAAATCAGAATATTGCTACACTGAATAAAGAATTGCTCAATTGTGAAGTTAGAAATGATCAATTACTACATCAAACTGAGAATGCACTGCAATTTAAACTGCGTGGCCAGGAACATGGTGAATCTCACAAGGATCCAAAAATCTGCATAGCTTCTTCCCAAGAAAGACATGAATGCTTAATCTGCGTTAGACTCAACAAATGATTTTAGAAACCAAAGGTTGTGATTGCAGAATTATAGCACCGAGTCCACTGCCCATCAAAATGAAAAACATGGTTGCCTGTTTTTATTGATTTGATTTTCCATATTTATATCATTATGGAACTCTGGAAATGGAATGGGTACAGACTTTTTATCCAGTAAATTATGATCTCAGGATGGCTTATATTCTGACATCAGTACCGTAGAGCTCTGCCATTCCATTTATATCTGTATATTCACAAACTAACCTATTTAGCAGTTAACAGTTTGTCTCTTTATGAACAAATAAAATACATTATCCATTTGGTCATCAGATAAGGCCCATGTTACAAATATTACAATATTTGTAATAAATATTCTGATGAGAGCCTTGTATTCATATAAAGAAAAGAATGTGGAAGACCTAAAGTAGGGCATCTGTGAGGGGTGGATCTAAAAAATCAAGATGGCTTTTTAAACCAAAATAATGATAAATTAAGCTGCAACCATATGATTGAAGCCCCATCCCTTTTAAAGGTATACAGTATTACATGTGCGACACATGTAAACATGGGGTGGGGCTTTGACTGTACAGTTGTGGCCGCCATCTTAACTTTTTGACACTCACACCCTGAAGATATCCCTGTCTATGACATAATAAATATGTATAAATGTGTCCAGAAAGATAGGAGTATTTGCATAACTACATATCAAAAAATAAAAATGCTTCAAAAATAACATTTAGGAGGCTTGTAAAAGAATATCTCTTCAAGCTTTTAATGGCCAATTTTAATTGTTAATTTAATTTATCATTATTTTGGTTTATTTATTACTCCAGTTTATATGCCACTGCAGTCAGAATGACTCTGAGAGGCTACCAACAAGTCCATAGCAAGAAAAAAAGAATTAAAAAGAAACAGTTAAAAACAATGGAATAACAACAATCATGCCCAACCCTTGGAAGATAGTATAATCCTCAGCCATCACCAAAGGGTTCCTAAAAAGCCATATTTTCATAGCTCTTCAGGAACACAGCAAAGAGGGGAAAGTCCCAATATCCATAAGCAACATGAGGGGGCCATCATTCAAAAGGTTTGATTCTGGGGTCTTCGCAGGTGATGTTGTATTCATAAAGGGATCCGTGACAATTTTATCTCTCCCTGATCTTACTGGATGTCTATAACCAACCTGGACCATTTTGTGTTTGAGTTATATTGTTGTTTGATCTGTTTTGTATTCTTTTTGACTTTAAGCCAGGTTGATTATCATATACATAGAAATGCAGGGTTGAAGTCCAATAAGTAAATAAAATTAATTTATAAATAATGCAGAAGTGGGAGGTGTACCTAATTCTTTAGATATAAAAAAATCCAGCCTTGAAAAGATGGAGAACCATTCCAAAATCAAGAAAGTGATTGTCAACAGAGAGAAATAAAAAGGCCTGTATTTACATAAAGCTACATGCTTGGATAGTGTATGTCTAGTTAGAGTAATCCACACCTGATAGCTTCTCATTTAGACTACTATATGTGGGGCTGCCCTTGAAGAGAGTTTGGAAACTTTAGTTAGTACAGAATGCTGGTTCAAGAGTACAAACTGGAACTGGGCAATATGAACACATCATGAACACATCAGTTGGTTTCCCACTTCAAGGTGCTGCCTTTAATCTGCAAGCCCTTTCTAGACTGGAACCATGATGTCTGAAAGAATGCTTCTTCTCATATCTTCTTATTTACACCCTAACGTAATATTTGCGATATCATGAGATACAGCCAATGGCCACCCAAATGCTCTTCTTTTCAATGGAAGCTCTCCAGCTTTGAAGCGCCTATCCTAATGAGGTCTGCTTGGTGGCATCCTTATTCTCTTTCTGACCTCAGGCAAAGATATTCACCCAGACCTTTTAATAACTTTTCAATCCATGATTTTTAACTATTTTATTTCTGTTTTTACTTTCCATTACTGTTTTAGTGTATAACTTGTTGCTTTTATTTTATATTTTGGTACTATATTTTATAAAATGTTCTAATGTATGTTTTTATTAATTGGTTTAATTGCTTTTAGTTGTAACTGTAATTTTTAAATATAAACTGCTTTCAGGTAAGGTAAGGTAAGGTAAAGTAGGGAGCAAAAGGCAATCTATATTCAAATATTTAAAGATTCATGAAAATAAACAAGCCACTTTTTATATCTCTAAAAAGTAGAACCCAAACCAGGGGCTATAACAGCAGCTATGAACAGGAGGATAGATTAGATATGTTCTCCTTTGCTATAATTTTAATTGAGGACTCTTTCCTCATCTTACAAAGATGACATTGTACATTTTACTGTAAGAAAAGATAAACAGACAGCATGCGTGTCCTTTGCACTGACTAAAGGAGTGTTTCACTTGACTCCAGTACAGCACGTGGACCAGTTTGCCAGAACTGTTGCATTAGAAAAGGAAGGAAAATCTGTCCAAAGAAAAACACCAAACCACTTTGGACAGCAGACTACTGAAAGATTCACAGAAAACCACTGGAAGAAGATCTCTGATGGTGACCGCTGTGGGCCACGGGGTTGCCCAGCACAAAGGAGCATCAACACCAGACCTTAGGGAGCATCACAGGCTGATGTTTAACTTGGTGTCCTGGTCCTCTGTCATGATTATATGCACCTTAACTGACCTCAGAAATAGGGTGGCAATAGCTTGCAGTTCTTTAGCAGAGGAAGATCTTAAGAGGAAGTGGTGCCTAGAAAGATTAAACAAGCCAAGATTGGAATTTACCCACATAACAGGAAATCCGAAGGCATCTGCTAGCATCTTTTCCAGCTTTTTATTAAGCTCACCAAACCACAGCTCACTTCATCGGGTGCTTTTTAATAAAAGTGCATTGGTCAGAAAAGGTGCTACTAGACTCCTCCTGATTTTTTGTTACCGTAGACTAACACAGCATTCCTCCTTACCATGTTCCTGTAACAGGAATGGTGTTCGTGCTGCTGCCCCAAATGTTTAGCCATCCAAGAGAAAACCCACTTTTCAGTGTTAATAGCTTTTGTCTTCACTAGCAGTAACTCGTAGTGGTAAAAGTAGGACCTGCCCAGTTTTCACTATTGTTTCTCCTCTATGGGGTACTCTCTAGCTTCATACAAAATGCCATTTATTTTTCAAATGTTTGAAGAAGGTGCTAGAAGACAATGATTCTTTTATAAAAGAGTTTCAATTCCCATTCAGCTCAGGCAGTTTTTGCAGCTGAAATCATGGGTTGATGAAGTCCTGACAAAAATTACAGACTGCCCAGATTTATAGTAACCCATAAAAATGCCATAAGCCTGCATAACTTTTCTGAAGTCCACAGATTTCTTTGTCAGCTGAAAAAGATTTAAAAACAATCATAATTTTAAATTTGAGGGGAAAAAAAGAGAAAACATTTCTACTCATAATCTGATTGCATGAACTATCTGAGGCAGGGCAAGAAACGGGTATAATTAAGAAGGATGAGCCAACTAAATTATAGCTCAATTTTGTTAGTATACAAAAAGCCTTGTAAGAAAAGATGTTTTGTTGCATTTCATTGCGTGAATAATTGCATGTGACTTTCTCAGTTCATGATCCATTCGGGGTCAGCACACATCTATAATTTGTTTATGACAGCAAGAGAGACAGCAACAATTTTTACCTGAGAATACTGCATTTCACAATAACCTTGTCTAGATCAGCCGCTCATCCTTTCTTCTATATTTTTATGTGATATGGAGGCATTGATCTTTTCAATTAGCTGATGATGTAAGTATAATAACACTATTAGAAAATAGGAATGACAAAATGCCAGCTGTCACTGGTAACGTTCCCCTAAATTCACTGTATTTTTTTAAAGTTTATCTTATTCCAAAAATACCTGGGAGGCTGAAGTACCTAAAGATTTCCTTAAGGTTTTCTTATGCCAAGTGGCTTAAAAGTAGAGACATCTTTGAATTAAGTTTGACTCCTGATGACTGCATTCCTGCAACTTGCTTAGCAGCATTAATGAAAATGGTTTGACATCACTTTCCACTGAGATATTTTTTGAGCTTCCTGATGGAGATCCCAGGTGGTTCCCATCCAAGTACTACCAAATGCTGCCCTACTTCCCAATATTACCCAAGGTTGGTTAAGTGCTGCCAGCCCCCAAGGGTGAATTGCTTAGGGCTTGGTACATTAATGCAGCACCTTGAATTGGCCTTTCATGACCTATCTTTGGAAAGCCAATTATCAATATTTATCTCCACAACAAAACCCAAAACTACACATGGGTGATGGAGTCAGGCTTGCCCTCCACACTTCCTAGACCAGTCTTCTAAACAGAGGACATGTCCAGGCAGGCCCAGATCCAAACTTGCTTAAATTTAATTTTCCTACGACTCACTCTGTGTTAAATAGATGCTGGAAGACTCATCACTGAATGTTCCTCCTTGAAACTAAATCTTCTTCTCCTCCTCCTCCTCTGAAATCTGAGTTTGGAATACTTGCTTGGTTTTCAAGCAGCTAGCAAAGAATAAAGGCCAGACTTCACTGTGGGAGTATCTTCAAAGGTGAGGGCTCTGGATAATTTGGGGTAGCTAAGTCTGGTAAATTTAAATGATCAAAGTTCATGGTTTTTGTTTTGTTTTATTTTAAATAGCAACTGGTTACTCTATAAAGCTACTGAACTAGGACGCCTACTTTCTCCTTTGATTTCTGATGTGTTAGGAACTCTTAGCTTGTCCCATTAGGCAAGATCATAATATCTGCAGAGGGGTTTTTTTTGCATATTTCATCAGACTATAAATTGGTATTATATGCTGATGATTACTGTTTCTTTCTCAATGTTAAACTCCAATTCCAGCTCAAATGTATTTGATTAATGAGTTTGGGTGAATTGTAGGATACTCTTTTAATTAGTCTAAGTTAGTGTTGATGCCAATGGGCAAAGATTTATAAACACCCCAAGTAATTATTTTTGTATAAATACTGAGTTTATTAACTATTTAGGTATTCTTATTCCATAAGATATTTTTCAAATAAATACATTAAATATGAATAATATATACAAAGAACATTCTTGGGATGGTGATAGATGGGAGACTTTAGGTCTTATCCTTTTGAGCAGGTAAACACTCTCAGAATGGATATAGTCTCCAGGATATTTTATAACTCGTGAAATTCTGATATAGATATTGGGGAAATGTTTTTTAAAAATTCAGTACAAGGTAAAGCTGTATTTCTTCAATTTGAAGATATGGTTGAAAAAGATACAGCGGTCAGTTGAAGAAGAGAGGTTTCGCTTCCCTAATCTTCAATTATACCATTATGGGTATAGCCTTTGACCACCATCAAACTCTGGGGAGCTTCACTTAGTACAAATTGTCCTTTTGCAATATTCACACATAGCACCTTTAATCAATCAGACTGTTTGGGGTTCAAACATTACGGCTGGAAAATTCCATTTTGATCCTGTTTCCCACACCAGTTTGATAGTATGGAGTATTCCAGACCTTGGAATTGATAAAAACCAACGAACCCCATATAGAAGCTTTGGATGGATGTTGGGATTTTTACTTTAGAAGCAATGCTGATGACCAGTTGTTATAATGTTCCCTGTTAAGGAATGATAATTGTCTATTGCCACCTACTGGCAATATTTACAACTACATTTATTGATACCTCAATTCTGACCAGTGGTATTTTCAGTTTCAAAGACAGCTAAATTATACAGGTAACAAAAGAGCTCAGTTCAAGAATTCTTTTCCCTTTTCATTTATTAAAATATCCCTATTTAATCTAAAGTTATGGAGGTGGAGGTATTACTTTTCATCAACCGTCATACCTACAATTTATGAATGAGTTACAACTTATGTATGGATTATGAAATACATCCTTTACTGAAGCTGCACGTAAAACTTTATATACATATACAAGCATGTGTGAGAAGCCCTTGTATATTTCTTTTGTTTTTCTATTTTGCTTTTTCTGTTGCTTAATTAAAGGCAAAAACTAAAATGAAAAATACAATAAAGTTGCAACTATTTCTTACTCCTCTGCTGGATTTTATAAACACTCTCGATTGGAAATTAATTTTCCTAGCTTGATGAATAGGCTTTTCTATATGCCAGACTACTGGGTGGAGTAGTTCTTGGAGAAAAAGGAAGTTCTGAATTGGAGGCCAGTCCTCCTCTAGAGATGCCACACTTATTTAACTCTCATATATTCAGAATGAGGCTTATTGATCACTTGAGTTGTAGCAGCATATTTACCTCTGACATATATGATGAAGACTGGCCTGACACCCTGTCCTACTTCCCAAAGTTAGAGATATGCATGCCACATTTGTCAAAAGCAAGCTCCATTATACTCTTAAGTATGTAGCTGCAGCCCAAGTGAGTTCAAAAGTGTTCTTTTGCAGTTGTTCCTACTAACATCTTCAACTTATATCCTGAATTTCTATCCAGAGGATGTTGAACTATTCAAATCACTTACAACTCTAACCCATTTATGTTCTTCCCTTACCTCTCCATTTCTTATTCCAAAATCTCCCAATTTTAATTCAGAAGAGAAGTTCATCAGAAACAACAGCCACCTACTGTAAGCCTGGAAGTAAAGCATGATTGCAATAGCCCCGTGTTCTCCAGCAAGTGGTACTTACAAGAAAGCTTTTTCTTGGAAGATGAAAAAGAAATACAGAGCGCTAAGATGTTAAGACTCAATTAATATGAGTAGATGAAAACCAAGCTCTTTGCAGGTTGATGGGATAGAACAGAGAGGTAATAGATAATCATAGGTGTTCTTTTATGCAAATTTCTTCTGGAATTTTTTGCTCAGGATTTGGATCAGTCACTTTCATATTCTCTTTTGTCTTTTTTATTTACTTCACTACCCACAGACCCGCACTGTAATCAAATTACTAAGAATCTGATTATATTCTAAAAACAAACCAGAGAAAATCAGTTGTGTCAAAATTCAGTTTATTATTTTTGAGAAAGTTGGCAACAGAAACATAGTGCTCCAAACAAGAAGTGTCTCATTATTTGTTGGCATCAAGTAATTATTACCATTCCTGGCCAATCATTATGTCTGCAGTGTTGAAATGAAACTGGTAACTTTGTTCAATCTGCCAAAATTTAAATCACATGTAAAATCAGCTTTCAATTATAAGCGAATTCTGCTATCATGTTCACAATCAGCTGACAAAATTAAAAAATTGACACATCATAAAAAGACAAAATGTAAAAATTATCAGAAATATCATTAAATCATTATTAGCAGTATAGGCAATAAAATACATCTTGTACAAAGAACATTGCACCTTGACGCAGCACAAGCATCTTTTGTTACCATTTATACATTTATACATTTTTGTGTAGAGTAGCATTGTACAAAAACACAGTGAAAACATTAACAGCCCTAAATGAAAGTATGCCAAGTGCTGACTCCTTTTGTTCCATACAGTTGCCTAGAATGCTTAATTAGGAATCTGGAACACGTTACTTGCTACATAAAAACAGAGTTTAGAAAATTTCAGGACAATCATTTAGCAGCTTATGTTGTATATTAAACCCCCTCACTGCACAAGGAATATCAAGGGCAATGCACAGGAAAATTTTCAATGCTGCTATGAAGAGAATGCTGATCCAGGGTTAATTCAGTCAGTACTGTGCTTTAATTCGTAACTGTAGACCTGACCAGCTGAAGTATTTGAACCCAACGAATTACCCAGTGAGCTCCAAAGGCAGCTCCCTCCCACAGAGTATCTCCCACTGCCTAGCAAGTAGTGAGATCAGTTTTTCACGGCTTTCGGGACTTGGGATAAAGACACACCACAACACCTCTTGGCTGATGTTGCCCTCTTGTCTAGCCTGCCCTTTAGGAAAACTGAGAACGTTGCCAAAGTGATCTAACGTCAGGTTCTGCATGAGATCTTGATTCTGAATGTCATCAAAAACAAATGTGAGTGCCTGAGGATATGCCTGATAGCCCATGAGCACGCGATCTAGGTCACGGATTCTTCTTCCATCTGCAAGCTGATACTTGTCTCTCTTCGGTGGTTCCTTTGCAAATTCAGGCCGTGGGTAACTGATGTAGTCCTCATTGAAAAGGAACAAATCTGAGCTAGTTAAGATCAGTGTTTTAGGCTGAAGGGAACTGTAGGTCTGAGCAGTCACCTCTGTGGTATTCACTTGAAATGCCAACACATAAAGGAGTAGATTCAGGGACTGGGATTTCATGACGCTGTTCATCTTCTCAGCAACCAGAAAGGCAAGGTCCCCAATTTCTTCTTCATTGGGATATATGAATCTCACTCTGCTAGAGTGAATCAGTTCATAGTTTTCCATTTTTCCTGAAACAATAAAGAATGTCATGTATTTTGGATGGATTAATTAAAAGTTGTATATTTCAATATAATGAGCTAGAAAAATTAGATTTACAACTCATTCAGAGCACTTTTATCTGAAAGAATATGTTCCCAAATTAAAACTTGAAATGATATAAAACACAATATAAAGAGCAGAAATAAAAACAGATACTATAACACTCCCGAAGAAGCTGAGCTATGAATCAGAAAACTCACCTGTGCTACACACACTCATAAGGTAAATGATTTCCTTTCAGTCTCAGACTTCCACCTACCATAAGGACATCAATAATAGATTTGCACCATTTTGATATTTTCTGAAATACAGTGATACCTCGGGATACGAACGCCTCTGCTTGCGAATTTTTCGGGTTACGACCAGCTCTGGCCCCAAAATTTTACCTCGTTTTGCGAACCCCGCCTCGGGGTGCGAGCCATTTTCCGCCCGTGCCACGTGGTCCGCGGCCATTTTCTGCCCGTG